CTGGTGTCAATGCTCTGGAAGGTTTGGAGGAGGAAGGCGCGGGAGAACTACTCGAGGGACGAGGTGAGGACGTCAAGAGCGCCATCATGGACATGCTTTTCCATCGTATCAATAACCAGGCCTCGGAGTCACCTTGGTCTGACGAATCTCATATGGCTGGACCAGGCTCCTATCACCAACCAGCAAGAGTGCCGACCGGCAATCGTGAAGGATGGAACAAAACTTTAATTCAACTGCATCCAACGGCACCGCGAGAGGATCATACTATTACGTCTGTTACATGGTGCGAAATCAAGAAACATCTGGAATCAACAGCCGACGAAAAAACAATAAGTTGGATGGTTGCAAGAGCACAAAATCTATCTCAAGTATCTTCTTCAAGAAGCACGCTAGCTTCTGGTCAAAACAATTTAACCCACTACACGGCTATCTTAAATGATTATGAGGCTTTATGCATTTCTGCTGACCCTGAAATTATCTCATGGGGCTCACAGCCTTATTTTCCGTTGGACAGTTTGCCTCGACCAGGAGTCTCGGGGTCCACATCCAATCTGCTATACCATATGCCACAACAGGATTCCATGGGTCCAGCTGTAGACTCTGGAGCTTTCAATCTCACAGTCTTCAACAACAACAGCAGCAGCAGTTGTGAAAGCGATGACCTGAGCAATTCCGATAGCGATACCTCGTGCCATAACGAACTCTCTTCATCTAAAAGCTCTAGTACCTTCCACACAACAGCCTCTCGCAGATACCAGTGCGAAGAATTAATCAGGCCGAAAAAGACACGTTGCCACAAGGAATTCAAAAGATCAGAACATCTCCGCCGTCATATCAGAACTGCCCATTGCGTTGACTACTTCCCCAATTACGAATGCAAGATTCCTTCTTGCTCCAAAAAGTTCAAAAGGAGAGACAATTTGCGCCCACACTATCTCACACATTTGATACGTACGAAAATAGCTGATCCAAGAAAGAACAAGGTGGTGACGTTCCAGGAACTGGAGAAAATTCTTGGTTCTGAGGAAGAAGATCTGCTAAAATCACTCAAGGCGAAGCTAGGTAAAACCTGAGCATGGCGCAGGATCGGTTTCGTTTGCTCTACGGCACTCCAATGTGGACGTGACCGATCTCGGTTTTGTCTTTTTAGCCTTTTGACGTTTCCGATGTTGTAAAGGTAAGCGCTTATTATACTTCGGCATACTTGGTGTTGTCCTTTTACGCTTCTCCTCGTGTTTTTATATGTAGAACTTTTCATTGTATAAACGCTTTTACACAACAACAGTAATATGTAAAAGCAACAATGAGAATTTGTGAAATAAGATAGCTTAAAGATACCCAAGGAGTTCTGC